CCCCAAAACCCCAAAACCCCAAAACCCCAAAACCCCAAAACCCCAAAACCCCTACTCCTCAAGTCCATGTTGACTTATACAATATTCCTACTCTCAATATAATAGTAAATATAATATGGTACTTATGATTTGTACTAAGGATTGGGAATAGAGGGAATTTTAGTATTTTGTACAGGGATTTTAGGCGATTTTGGTAGAGATTAACGGGATTTTGGGGGATTTATGAGGGCAAGGGCTTATTGGAGTGTAGGAAGGAAGTAAGAGTGGAGAGAATGGAGCATTGGGGACAATGGAGGAGATGATGAGGTTGAAGGAAGGGAATATTGTGGCGGAGTTGGGGTTGATCAGGCCAGGAGCGAAGAGGAACTCGAAGTTTAATAATTCTAATGTGAGGAAAGCGTTTAATGCAGCGAAGAGAATATGTCAAATCAATCAAGGAGTTAGGCCACAAAGGATGATCGAGAAATCATTGCCAGTTAACGATATTGATACACTTTCTAATCAAAGTAAAAATACCAGTAAAGGGAAAATGCAGGCTAAGCCAGTTTTGTCAAATATGAGTGATATGACTCACAGTACTTTTCGAGGCCAAAAGATGATTCAGAAAGCTTTGAACATGAGAGAATCAGACGATATGATTCAGCAAGAGGAACATGTAAAGTAAGTATTTTCTAGTATTTCTTCAATCAATCTTTATTATATAGTGATGAATTAGGGAAGCTTCTTGATATTGATGAATTCATAAAATCTTACAGGAAGGCTAAACCAAAATAAGAATAAGAATACTAATGTCAAGGATATAATAGGAGATGAGATTAGGAGGTTCAAACTTCAGCAAAGGAAAGCTGCTCGTCATAACCAAATGAGGAAGGTATGAAATTATGGCTCCACATTTTACAAAAATTTTTGAGTTCTCTAAAATATTTCACTATTGCTAGTACCATTTTATCCGATTCTAACATATTTGGGTATAGGGATGGCTCAAAAAGAATGTCCGCCAGGATGAAGAGAAGGAAGAGGTTGAGGAAGATACTAAATCAAAACTTCCATGAATTTTTAAGCCATCAGATGGCAGCAACGAGAATGGATCAATACATACACCAAAAATTACAAAAGGAACGAATAAAGGATCTTTTACAATCCATAAAAGTAATAAAATCAAAGTACAGAAAAATAGAGATGGTAATCAATCAAAGGCAGATCTAGCTTTAACGGCTAGGACAAGCTCACAGGTTATTACCCCAAATGTGCATTTAACACCTCAAAAGAAGACATTTCTAACCAAGATTGATACCGGTAGAAACAAGCAGTCATTGAGAAGCTCATTTGACCTAGAAAAAGTCGAGGAAGAGATCAAGTTAATGAATTTAAAAGTTCTTAATAAAATCAATATTAGGAAAGGTTCATTACCATCTCTAAATGCGATGAAGAAGAAGCCGAAATTGTCACAAAATCTAGACCTTGTAGAGGCTCTGAAGAAGAGGGATCCTGCGAGGTAGCCATTTGAATAGTATTTTACTAATTCTTTTATCAATATTTTCGCCCTTTCATGGGGTTTTGGGGTTTTGGGGTTTTGGGGTTTTGGGGTTTTGGGGTTTTGGGG